AGTAAGTAATGAAGCCCCCATCGCATTATATCGAAGGGAAATTCTTACCAGTAAAGGCCTTTCACCCATTTTATATGTTCCAACTTGCGAGCCTCGTTCTTTGGTCTTTGGATGAATATTACTACTATGCTGTTTGTATATTCCTTATCTCTGTCTTCAGCATTGGCGCAACCGTAATTGAGACCAAGTCTGTGAGTCACTACCTCTGTCTTGACAACACGTGTAATGCCTTAACACCATCCAGACTATGAGTCGCCTGAGGGAGATTTCCTTGTTCGAGTGTGACATTCGTGTGCTTAGGAATGGGTTTTGTGAGTTTGTGTCTTCACAATTAGTCTTTATGACACCTTGTCGGTTAGTTACTGACTTACGCTACAGGGAGGTCGGTTCCCTCTCGAGACCTTGTCCCGGGTGATGTATTCGAATTCTCCGATCCATCGCTTAGCCAAGTCCCTTGCGACTGTATCTTACTGTCAGGTGACTGCATCGTAAATGAGAGCATGCTCACAGGTCTGCCCATATATTAGGTGTCCCTTCTGATAGGAAGTGCTGACAAGGACCAGGTGAATCCGTACCCGTGTCCAAGACCCCATTAACAGACGATGCACTTAAGTATCTTAATCTGAACGCCCCCTCTGTCCATCCAAACATAGCAAAACATTTCCTTTTCGGTGGAACAAAAGTCATCCGAGCACGGCGCCCTCATAATGTTGATGATGACGATGCCATTGCTCTAGCAATTGTTGTCCGAACGGGATTTTTGACAACTAAAGGCGCATTAGTTCGCTCTATGCTTTTCCCAAAGCCCTCTGGCTTCAAATTCTATCGAGATTCATTCCGTTACATATCTGTTATGGCAATGGTCGCTATTCTAGGATTTGTGGCCTCCTTTTTCAACTTTATCCGACTAGGTGTAAGCACCCAGAGACTATTCTAGAACAAGCTAACTTTATCTAGCTCTCCTGGCATTTGATCATTGTCAGAGCTCTCGATTTGATAACAATCGTTGTTCCACCTGCTTTGCCTGCTACGCTGACAATTGGTACGAACTTTGCACTTTCGCGGTTGAAAAATCAAAACATTTTTTGCATTAGTCCACAGAAGTGAGCTTCATGTTTCTGAGTGCCCCTAGCTGCGCTAACCTGGTCTCTAGGGTAAATGTCGGCGGTAAATTAGACGTGATCTGTTTCGATAAAACAGGAACCCTAACTGAAGATGGATTGGATGTTCTTGGGGTGCGGACTGTAAATCGAGAAATGAGGTTTGTCATCCACAACCACTCATATTTCGGCTATAGCTAACTAATATCAGGCTATCAGACTTGCTCTCGGACGTGACTCTAGGGTCTCCCTCAGCTTCAACATTTGATGCTTCCTACGACCGCAAAAAGCGTGATGTTTTAGCCTACATCATGGCCACCTGCCACTCGTTGAGAATTGTGGACGGCGAGCTTTTAGGTGACCCTCTCGACGTGAAAATGTTTCAATTTACTGGCTGGTCTTACCAGGAAGGCGGCAGCCATGGTCCTGAACAGCCAGACCCCAAATTTGAAACAATAATGCCGCCCATTGCAAAGCCACCTGCCCCTTCAGAGAATCTTCGCCAGAGCAATTTCACTGTATGTATGCTTTTCCTGTACCAGATCGTACTCTTCGATTTGGAATGCATATTGTTGCGGGTGCTGATATCAGAATGATAAAGGCACCACTTGAACTTGGTATTTTACGGAATTTTGAATTTGTCTCTGAACTTCGACGCGCGAGCGTTATTGTAAGGCAATTTGGTGACAATGGTGCTAGCATCTTCGTCAAGGGTGCACCAGAAAGCGTCAGAGCCATATGCCTTCCCGACAGTCGTCAGTATATCCAATGGGGCACGAGCATAAGGCATGGCACTAACATTCAGTCCAACTATAATAGTGCCTCAAGACTTTGAAGATATACTGAGCCAGTACACCCACAAAGGTTATAGGGTTATTGCCTGCGCCGCTAGATACGAACAGAAGTTGAGCTGGATGAAAGTGCAAAAAATGACTCGCGGAGATGCAGAAAGTGATCTGGAATTCGTTGGCTTCATTATATTTGAAAACAAGCTGAAACAAGCAACCACTGAGACTATTACTGAATTGAACCAAGCAGGAATACGGAATGTCATGTGCACTGGAGACAATATACTTACCGCAGTTAGTGTCGCTCGTGAGTGTGGAATGGTCAGCAAAAGCGAGCAATGCTTTATACCGCACATTGTAGAAGGTAAGTTAGTACTGCGTGCTCTGCTCATCTTAGCTAACTCCAAGCAGATCGTTCCCATGGTCTGGCATCTTCACTTTGCTGGGAGAATGTAGATAATCCAGCATTGAAGCTTGATCCAAGCACACTGATGGTGTGACACCCGTTCTACTCTATACGAAATGAAATTGACAAGTCATAGCCTTCTGTGAATTCAACCGATTTGGACTTGTCTATACCTGTCAATGTCTTTAATATACACAATTTCTCGCTTGCGGTCAGCGGAGAGGTATTTAGATGGATTTTGGACTTCGGCGATGAGACTGTACTTCAACGAGTATGTACATCTTTCGTTTGCCAAATATGACCCTCTCAGTTGGGTTCCTTGCATAGAGCTAACTTGAATCCAGATGCTTGTGCGAACCAAAGTGTTCGCTAGAATGTCACCTGATGAAAAACATGAACTTGTGGAGAAACTTCAGTCACTTGATTATTGCTGTGGGTTTTGTGGCGATGGTGCCAATGACTGTGGCGCGTTGAAAGCTGCAGATGTTGGGATATCGCTTTCTGATGCTGAGGCATCTGTGGCTGCACCATTCACTAGTCGCCAATTTGATGTATCCTGCGTGCCAACTTTGATCAGGTATAGTCCCACCTCTCGATTGAAGTAGTCGTTTCTGTTAACTAGTTCACAGAGAAGGGAGAGCCGCTCTAGTTACAAGCTTTTGTTGCTTCAAATATATGAGTCTCTACTCTGCGATTCAATTTTCCACAGTCAGTTTCCTGTACACGTCAGCATCAAACTTAGGTGATTTTCAAGTACGTACCAAAGGAATGGATCTTGTGTATGATAATTACTGACTTTTTCTAGTTTTTATTCATAGATTTGGTACTCATTTTACCAATCGCAATTTTTAGTAAGTGAAGCAACTCGGACACCAGGTGTACGATGGAAGGAGATTACAATATTGTTCGCGCTGACCTCTCTTTCAAAGTGGGATGGACCGGCCCCTATCCCGTACTTTCCAGAAAACGCCCAACTGCCGATCTTGTCTCGCGAAAGGTGCTGACGCCATTACTCGGCCAAATTGTAATTTGTATACTGGTTCAACTTGTGGCCTACAAAGCCGTTCAGTCACAGCCATGGTATGTCGGTATTTGATTCGAACGGTACAAATTGAGAAATACATCCTAACCCTAACTACAGGTTCAAGCCCCCAGAGATTGATTTGGATAATAGTAATATTGAGAACTCTGAGAACACCGCCCTGTTCCTGGTCTCATGCTTTCAGTACACGCTAGCAAGTGTTGTTCTCAGCGTGGGGCCTCCATTCCGAAAGCCTATGAGATCAAATAGTTAGTAACCGTTGGTACTGCTTGAATCTGTTGCTAACAGTTATCAGGAGCCTTCATATCTGTGGTTGTTGTAGACTTGATCATCTCATGTTATATGCTCTTCAGGCCCTCTAGGTGGGTGGTGCAAATTATGCAGTTGACATTTCTATCAGGGAATTTCGCTATTTCGCTGCTTGCACTTGCCGTGGGCAGCTTCATTTTCTCTTGCATTGCGGAGCGTGCACTTTTCCCTAGTCTTGCTCGGGCCTTGGGGCGAGCTTACGTACTCTTACGGCCAGGCCATCACAAAAAGCGCCGTCGATACAAGGTGCTACTGGAGGAAATGCAAGAGTAAATGGCCCCAAAAAGTAAAGTCATCGCCATTTTGGTAGAGCAATAGAATTTTACTTTTAAAAAGCATACATCACGGCCATTACGCCTCGTAGCCCAGCATCTTCCTCAGTTGATGACTCTGCCGTAATTAGGCTACTGCCACTACTGGAATCCTATAACGCTGAGCAAGGAGTAAGGAGTAATAGAGATGTAATGTCTGTACACGCCGTTCCTGTCTAACTGGAGAATATCACGAAACGAGGGCGGCCAATTGATTCACAATGTCCAATGTAAATCCCGCAAGCTTGTTCTGTAATTAATTTGGTTTATAGTACTTAGTGTTCCCACGGATGCTTCCATCCCAATAAAGCAGGGCCATCCTTCTTGGCTCGGTACATTAGCTAGTCGTCAGCAACTATAGTTAGTGTCATTCATTGAAAGAGAATCCATGATTAGGCCCGTACAAAAAACCACATGCTAGCGCCCAAAGCCGTAGCTGTAAAGCGATAAAGGGGACGTGCTGGGTGAATATGAATGGGATGATTCGCAGCCATGTCTGTACATAATATGGTCAGTTGAAGTTTCATCAGCGAAAGAAAGTCATCTAGAGATACCTTTGGAGATCTTCTTTATTCTCGGAGTTCTAACTTCAATTGGAACGGTGGGAATTATATTTGAAGAGACGAGAGTGAGATCCATCAATGAGCGAGATCCATCAGCACCGAGTGCGGATGTGTAGTCACGTGAACCCAGGCTTTCCCGGTCGGATCGACATACATTGAAGGTATCTTGAATACAACAATAACTATGACTGGATGCAAGCTCTTATCACCCGTCAAACGTTAAAGTGTGAGGGCTGTTATGATCAGTGCTATCTAGCTATAGTTACTTCCGCTGTGCGGTTTGCCGATATACGATATACCTCTGCCTCGCTTTACAAACCGTCTATCCTAGATTACATCTCGACCTAATGATTATCAGTCCCCAACCCCTGTGCGTCGCGCATCACCCTGATAGTCCTGGTAAGCCATACTTACTACGAGCCTATCCTCGGTCCACTGAGTTCTACCATCAGGAATTGAACTTGCGCAAGCCTCTTGGTATAGAGCAATCGCCATTCGCTGGGGCGGGCCATTCGCCATACACTACAAGAAATAGGTATTGCTTGTCGCCCTTAGAAAAAAATGGTGGTAGCTTCTCTCGAACGGAATAGCAACGGAAGCTCTCGGTTTCACGGATGCACTAGCATCCGTGAGTATGAGTTCCTTGGTAAACTTGGTGAAGGCACGTTCGGGTAGGTGCCCGCGTTCTGTAGGCAAGTCAATATATTAAAATTTCTGGCCAGTGAAGTCTACAAGGCGCGATCAAAAAAAGATGGCTCAACCGTCGCTTTAAAGAAGATCCTCATGCATAATGAGAAGGACGGGGTAAGATGGCTACCTGCTGAGCAGCAACGCTTTGGGCTAATACATCCCGATAAAGTTTCCTATCACTGCACTCCGTGAAATCAAACTGTTGAAAATGCTATCCCACATCAATATCCTCCGGCTAAGAGAAATGGCTGTGGAACGAAGCAAAGGTAGGAAGGACAACACGTTCTCCTTTTCCAGGGAGCTGACCCTGGGCCAGGGGAAGGCCGAAAGAAACCGAGCATGTACATGGTTACTCCCTATATGGAACACGACCTGTCGGGGCTCTTAGAAAACCCATCTGTGCAATTTACTGAGCCTCAGATTAAATGCTACATGCTGCAGCTCCTCGAAGGACTCAAGTATCTCCATGGGGTAATACCGTTTTCATAAAAATTTACTAAAATTTGTTTCTAACTTGACACAGAATCGAATATTGCATCGTGATATGAAAGGTCAGTTCCCACATAGCGCAATAAGGGGCCTTGTAGCTTACTCTTACACAGCTGCCAACCTACTCATCAGTAACAAAGGTATTCTTCAGATTGCCGATTTCGGGCTAGCTCGACCGTATGATGAACATCCTCCTCAGCCTGGAAAAGGTGGAGGGGAAGCTAAAAGAGACTATACCACTTTGGTTGTTACACGATGGTACCGCCCTCCAGAACTCCTTCTTCAACTTCGACGCTATACAACTGCGATTGATATGTGGGGTGTCGGGTAATTCTCTCAGTTTGATACTCGCGACTTACTTTCTGACGGTGACAGGTGCGTCTTCGGCGAAATGTTCAAAGGCAAACCAATCCTTGCCGGCACTAGTGATCTCAACCAAGCCCAGCTTATATTTAATCTTGTGGGCACACCTTCTGAAGAAAACATGCCTGGCTGGAGCTCGCTCCCAGGCTGTGAAGGGGTGAAAAGCTTTGGTAGCAAGCCAGGGAATCTATCTGAGGTCTTCAAAGAGTACGGGCATCCATCATTCTCAGAATCAAGCTTAAAGGCGTCTCACACCATAATGTGGAAAAGGATGCTGACATATTGATAGGCAAGATCCAGCCGCCGTATCTTTATTAGGTGAGCTCTTGAAACTCGATTGGCGAAAAAGAATCAATGCTATCGACGCGTTGAAACACCCTTACTTCTCTAACCATCCCCTACCTGCACACCCCGGCGATCTTCCTCGTTTCGAGGACTCTCATGAGTTTGATAGAAGAAGGTTCCGAGGCCAGCGAGCAGTTATGCCCCCAGCCCCTGCTGGAGGCTCTGTGGGCATGGGCCCCAATGGTGGCTGGAGCTCAAATTCCGGACCCCGAACCGGAGCAGATTCCAGAAATAGTCGTATCCCTGGTGCTGCGCGTTTTGGAAAGCCAAATTCTCATGGCGGCCAAGGAAATGCCCCCCGACGATCTTTTGATAATCGAGGCAATGAACCACATCAGAGTCGGGTGAAGCAGGATGATTCACATCGGGCTCTTTCGTCATGGCACAAGGAAGGAGGTCTGCCGCCAAAGCCTCCTCTGCCCTCTCATCAGGGATGGGTGCCAGGCTACCCTGGTCGTGTAGGACGCGACAGGAACCATTTGGGCCGTTTTGGTGGACGGCCAGACAGCAATGTGGATTCTTATGTTCCGACTTATAATGGCATGGGGGAACAGCCTCGGGATGCCTATCTAAACAATAGGCGAGATTATACAAGGGAGAATCCTTCAAGAAGGCGCAGTCGAAGCCCAAGCTTTAGAGAAGGTTCTCGGCCTGCGGAGAGGGATCTATATCGGAGGTAGATTGATAGTCAATTGTATTCTCTAAGGCACAAAGGGCTCTATGCAATGGGGTTGTGCTTCAATATGCACCTCACCTATTTCTAAAGTGGCAGGTCTTGCAAACGCTCTTGTGTCTGGAAATTTGATACAATTGCTGCTTAGGTCTATTGCAGCTTCTGGGAATCTTTTACCACTTTTTGAATTTAGCACTTGGAGGATGGAAAATCTGAAGGCAAGTTTGCCTATTTCACAATTCAAGGCAGGGCTCAAGGTACTAAGAGAATAAGGGCGCAACAAGGCCGAAGTGTTGAACAAATATTTCTCCATAGGCATCAGTATCATGTGTCGAATTTGAGCAGCATACCTGAAGTTTCTCTTATCCGGACACCACTTGACGTATCGATAACCAAGGTTTTAATCACTCAACCACACAAACTAGCGCGGCGGTAGCATGGGAGCCGATAACTTTCTTGTCTGGCAGATGGTAGACTTGGGCCGTTGAGGGATGGGTTCTACCGAAATCAAATCTACCAATAACTAATTTTAGAATGAGGCTTCCATACGCCGATGTGTCCTCAGTATAATATACGTGTCATGATCCGAGCTAAACTAGTTGTTAGCATTATTGCTGATTTAGAGGATAAGGGAATCGTACATGAAAGGCTTTCAAGCCTCTCGTATAGATCCTTGATAGTAGCGTTATCAACATCACTGATATCAGCCATTAGGTAGGCCACCTATACATAGTTAACGTTGAGATAATCTCCAAGTATGGGTAGCTGATAACGCACGTCACCTCTGCTATCGGTCATTTGCTTGTCGACGTTATGGTCTCCCAGGATCTCATTCACTATTATTATTAGTGTGGGTTCCATATAAACACACAAGTACAGCACTTGTAAGACACACCTTTCCTTAAGACGCCAGGAATATTTTGATGGATGTAGATCACCTGTAGTCAAAGAATTAACGATAACTTCCACCGCATAAGCCTTGGTATATAATGATAGTTGACGTACTCGAGCATGTTCCGGTTCATCCATAGTCAAGGAACGAAGGGCGACTTCGGGAAGGTTGACGGCACCTAAAGTTGTGCCTTCGTTGACATATCTCACTAAAGCGTCTGCCACCTCCACACCAATTGCACGCTGCGCTTCTTCGGTACTACCTCCGATGTGAGGAGTAAGAATCACATTCTTAAGGCTGCGAAGATCCGCTGCCCAGTTGTTAAGCTCGCTATTGAAATAGTCACCATTTCCAGCAGGTTCGTTCGGATAGACATCAAGTGCGGCCCCAGCCACCTTGCCAGATCGCATCGCGTGGATCAATGCCGGGATGTCAACGACACTTCCTCGACTAGCATTAATCAAATAACTGCCGTCCCGCATTTGTTCAAATTGGCATTGTCCAATCATCTCTTTTGTTTCCGGAAGTTCCGGTACATGGCATGTGACGAAGTCTGACTGGGAAAGTAGACTCTCTAAAGTGGGAACCTGGCGGGCAGTGCCCAATGCCATCAGATTCACCACATCATAGTAAAGAACAGACATGCCCATGGCCTCAGCTAGAACCGATAGTTGGGAACCAATATGGCCGTAACCTATTATACCTTTCCTCAAAAGTCAGCGGAGTTCCCCTACCGTCGTGACATTTAATACATACCCAATGTCTTCCCACGTATCTCCCAGCACTTGCTGCTTACTTTGTTCCAAGTGCCACTGTGCATTTCATTAGACCGGTCACCGAGTTGCCGAGCTAGTGCAATAATCTCAGCAATAACCAACTCTGCAACGCTTCGAGAGTTGCTAAATGGAGAGTTGAATACAGCAATGCCGTGTTCTGCAGCATATTGGAGGTCCACTTGGTTTGTTCCAATACAAAAACAACCGACGACTATAAGATTCCGAGCCTCTTTCAAAATACGAGCTGAGAGCTTCGTCTTCGAACGTATACCGATGACGTGCACATCTCTTGAAGAATGATTAGTGCACAACTCTAAAGTACGGAATGCCAATGCTGACTTCAACTCACCGAATTTTTTCTATGAGCTGATCCTCAGGAAGTGATGACTTTAAAAACTCTACTTGATAGCCTTGCTTTGTAAGAATATCTCGCCCCGTTTGATTTACATTCTCCAAAAGAAGAACTTTGATATCCTCAGTAGCGAATGGCTTCAAATGCTTGGCATTGGGCAGAGGGATCGTGCGGTTTGTGAAAACCGAGTTTCCATGACTAGATGGGGCGGACTGAAACGATGCGTTTGGAGAAAGACCTGAGGCTGGATGACTGTTGATTTCTTTGGGAATGGCTGACATTGTGTCAAAGTAGTCGAGATCTAAAGTAAATGAGGCAGAATGTATCAGGTGGTGAAGGAAGGGAAGGGCAGTTGAGAGTATTGGTTATGGAATGGGAGAAGTCGTTGGATTTCATATGTAAAATGGAAGACTCCGGGACCGGAGGCCCGACGTGGAATCCCTCTGACACACACTTTCCTCTCTAACTCTTACTTTTTCTTTTAATTTTTTTTTTTTTTTTTTTTTTTTTGACTCATCGGAGATATGGGTGTAGTGGACCGCCAACATGGAGGGGTAATGGCGGGACCGACCTCAACCCCACCATGAACTGATCAATTAACTTTGTCTTCCACTCTTTTTTATGCAGCACCATAGGGTATAATCTTATTTTCACCTACTCGATACACACAACTATAGAGAGGTATTGCCCCTAATATGCACTGCTATAGATGGAAATCGTATACAGTTAGTTCTATTATCATTTGTCGCGAAAGATGCTCATAGAGACTGTCTGCCTTCTACAAATGCTCTACATGCTAGTTAGTATATGATTGTATCGCAACACCGTGCAATGAGAATCGCAATTACCGCCATTGCTGCAATCATTCCAGATAGAGAAGGAACTTTTCAGCGCCTTTGGCACTCACACCCGTAAATCCTGTATCTTCTTTGTGGCTTGTTCCGCGCCACTTGCTGTCTTAGAACTCTGCTTGCCCTTAGCTTTCTGGGAAGTGCTATCCTTCGGGAGTTCCTTGGTAAAAGGGAGAAACTCTGGAGCACCTGGTATGTATTTCCGAAGGGGCTCTGGCACAATAAATCCCTGTCCTCTGTGTCAGCCATATTTTTTTGAGAATGAGTCAATATCAAAAGAACACGTACATCCTCCTTTTGATAGTTCTCAAGAATACAGCAAAGCGTCCGCTCAGTAGCACACAGGGTGGCATTCAAAGCATGAACATACGACTTCTTAACATCTGTCGCTTTCTTAGTGCCATACCTAATTTCCAAAGCCCGGGCTTGATAATCTGTGCAGTTGGAGCAAGAAACCAACTCCTTGTACTCTCCCTGAAATGGGAACCAGGCTTCGAGGTCGTATTTCTTAGACGCCGCATTGTTTAAGGCTCCGGACACAATGGCAACTATCTGATAGGGAAGCCCAAGAGACTTGTAGAACTCTTCCGAAGTAGCCATCATCTCCTCAAAAGCTTCCCACGATTGTTCAGGTTTGGTAAGGACGAATTGCTCGATCTATGACCCAGTGAGAAAAAAGAACTTTGGCACATAACGTGACATTCCTTACCTTCTCAAACTGGTGGACGCGGAAAATACCCCAGGCGTCTTTACCATGAGCTCCTGCTTCTTTGCGGTAACATGTGCTATACCCAGCATACCTGCATCTTGGTTAGCTAGATTATTAATAATGTATTCGCCCCACTCACTTGATTGGGAGATCCTTGTCTTGGAGCCATTCACCGTCATGCAAAGCCGACAGCGGCTGTTCTGAAGTGGCGATGAGGTATTTGTCTGTAGATTTGTCCTCACTTTCTGTTACCTTGTACAATTCCTCGTCAAATTGCTCAAGCTGGGCTGTTTTTGCCATCATGTCCTTCAGCATGAATTGAGGAGGCTGGTTCGGCTTATAACCCTTTCCCCAAAGGAATTCCAGGCCGTAGTTGATCAACGCAAGATTTAAGAAAAGTCCATACCCTGTCAAGCAGTATCCACGGTGGCCTACAATCTTGACACCACGTTCGGGGTCGTAGCCGTCAAGGCGAGTGAGAACTTCATGATGAGAAAGGCAATCGCGCTTCTCGACAGTGACATTTTCGGGTACCCATGTCCTAACCACAACATTGTCGTCCTTATGACTCATGTCAGTCTCTTTGCCAAACAAAACTTTTAATGAGCGGTAGAGACCTACTTCGTTATTGCTCACAGGGACCGAGTCATGCACATAATTACCAATGGTTCGGAGTTTGCTGTCTCGTTGCTTTTCCTTTTCAAGAGCAAGGTCTTCGGCTTCTTTCTTGCGTTGTTCAAGCGCAGCTTTCTCTTCGAGAAGGGAGCTTGCATCTTCCTTGCTCTGTTTGGGCGATAAATATTAGTGTGGATTTTGATAGCAGAAGATTGGGAGAAAGAACAAAACTACTTGTAGCCATGAGTGACACGGACCTTTTTTTTCTTTCCAATTTCTTTTTGAAGTCCATTGAGCTGAGAGCCTATCTGCATAACCTCGTACCGTGCTGCAGTGTGTTTCAGAGTCTGCTAACCTTCGGCAAAGTAATGATATCTTCGAAAAACGTACCTCGGCGGGCTCCTTCATATAGCGTAAGAACTTCATCGACTACATTTTCTGAAGCGAACCGTTTCCGCTGGCTCTCCTTGACCTTGTTTGGGTTTCCTCCGCGGTCACTGACGAAATCAGCGATATCAAGCATCTTGTAGGAACTGAAGGCGCAAGTATAATGGTCGGTCCTAGCAGGTTAGGCTCTCAGATTCTGGCAATGTGGAGTGAAGTTGAGCAGGAGCCACAAATGTCCTAGTCTTGGTCACGGTCAATGAGGGGTAAAAACCTGGGTGGCCTGGAGCCATTAGGGCATAAACTATGCATGGAAGTAGTTTAACTCTCTGTCATGAGGGGCAGTGGCTTAATCAGCAGAATCAACTAACGTAACCGGAAAGCCGCTGGGTCTTGTAAGCCGCTGGGTCAGCTCTGTATTCTATACAGTAGGGCCTTATTTCAAACACCAATATCTCAGCCAATCTAGTTAATAAGTACTTCAAACTTAATATATCGTCTATTATATACTATGAGAATAATCTTTAAGATTTAGGAATTCTAATAATTCTTATTTACTGGGGTAAAGTAAATTACTATATATTTTATAGTATTTTTAGTATATAGCGGTAATTTACATTCCTTAATCTTTTTTCTACTAATAGATAAGTTGTGTATAGATTATATATATCTTAATAATATATTTGAGTTGTAGCCCGATATATTTAACAGTAGTTGAGATATTGATATTTGAAAATAGACAATTTTCTATGGAATACGGTGCTGACCCGGCTACCTGCGTGACCCAGCGGCTTACCAGTTACCTTACTTGCCTAGGCTTGGTTTGGTACATACAGTCCACCATTTAGTAGGTTAGACATGCAATCAATTAATCAAGATTTTATTAACCTGTTAGAGCCTGACTACTGATATACTTTAGAGTTAGATAGGAAGCTCGTTGTTAAGCTAAGCACCTAGTAGGTTTCTTTTTTGATACCTCATCGACTTCTCAGAGTTATGCAACCCTCATCACAAATTATTAGTTATTAGTAGCAGTTGCATCCGAAAAGCAGGGATCCTGCGCAGTTGTTAATTTTTTTTTTTCCTATAAAGCGTAACTTTCTATGAAAATACATCTGCTTGGTGTCTCCATGGCCTATCCTCTGTCGCAGTAGAATATCAGTGCCAGTGCCGATAAGAATGAGACCGCCATTGGTCTAAGACTTAGGTATCATCTTGCTTGCCAAGATGTGAAACCGGTTAGTTCCTGTGGTGGTTCAGTTCTACCATCCCTTTTCTTCGCTCTGCCAGCGAGCAACTCTTGTTACGGCAAGCCGAAAAAGCTCCTTCCCCTGGGGTTGGAAGAAGTGGGTGAATCTTCCGATAAGTTTTCATAAGAAATCATATAGTAAGTACATGTCAATTTCATCTGGAACAATCTCGAGCCCGTACTTCTCTATTCTATTAGTCGCCATATACTTAGCTCGAAACATCCACTATCTCCAAGGCAATGGCTATTAAGAGAGACAATGACTGGGGAACGCCACAAAGGTAATAAAAGATGAAATAGAAATAATGATTGTAGAAGGAGAAGGAGATAAGGGAGACAAATGGGGAAGCGTGGGGGTAGAAAGAAGGGCAAATGTGGAAAACAGAACAAACTTCAATCTGTTCAATGGCAGACGTACTTCGCAGGGAGCTTAGAAAACAGTTGTCTTCATCACACCATTGCAAACACCACCCGCGAGCACATAGTGAACACATGAGACTTTCCTTCTAGCAGCAACTGACAGTCAGCGGAAGCATCTTAGGTTCTGTGCTTATTGACATTGCTTCAGTTTCCGTATCACATTACAGCACACTTGTTCCCTCCTGTGGGTTGCGAAGGATTCTGGGACTTCTCGATCTCCCCTATCATTAAATCAAAGGCTTTCTCAACATTGTAACCAAGACGGGCACTAGCCTCGGTAAAAGCACAATGAAAGTCTTCTCCTAAGCCCCGGCCTTCGTCCAATGATACTTGACGTTGTTCGGATTTCAAATCACTTTTGTTTCCGACAACTACAAGGGGCACATAATCCGCTCCCTATCGTCTGATCTCAGTTCCTAAAGTCGACAAAAGGATCGGCGTCGGGCGCCCAGCACTCACAAGGTGATTTAGTATCTTGTCTCGAATAACCCTCACCATATCGAAAGACTGGCGGGACGCCACCGAGTAGACAATGATATACCCATGAATCCCAATAAAGTGCTTGGAGTTCAAGATACTGTACTCATCCTGACCCAGCATTAGCTTCTGGAAAGACACTTTGTTGCCAGTATCCTTACTTGACCAGCTGTGTCAACAATTTCCGTTGCAAAATCTTGACCGTTGTATTTGATGATTCGACTAAACGTGTTCTCGATAGTCGGATAATAACTTTCTACAAAATGATGCTCAACAAATCGAACCGTAAGGGAAGATTTACCTATAAGTTCTGTCAGTGATCAAGATTCCGCACGAAGAAAAGCTGGTTCACCACAAAAGTGGAAGACATCATCGTATACACACCCACAGACCGACTACCAACGATAGCTATCTTTCGCTGTTTTGGTGCAGTAGGCATTTCCACAGCTTTTAGTGACGTGCGGGACGATAATCCGCTAGGATAATATAATTCGTTATTGGAAGAAATATATATCCCACTACCAAGGATTGCGTCTCTATAGTCGCGACGAAAGGGGTGTCAGAACAAGGTCTTAACCAGGAACAGGAAAGCACCGATAGCTGGGAGCTCGCCGAGATAGAACTTGAGTGGAAAGCAAAACAATTGAACTTCAGTTTAGAGGCAGTGTTTGATGATGAGCGATGGAGTTGTCGCACGGGTGGCAAATCAGTTAAAGTATGAGTCTCAAAACTGACTGGATACCTGAGGTACTAGTAGTAGTTCCAGCCATTGAAAACGCAAACAAGTCAAACGGTTAGTTAAGATTTTATTTATTATGTCATACATCATATCTACATAACTAGTAGTTATGGCTACTTGGTACTCTTCAACGATTCAACCCAAGTATGTAATAATCGAACACCTCAAGTACCAATTATCATGTCCAGATTGGGTCGTCAATTTTAAAAATCCGTCCCCAGTCCAGTTTTACATCAATTGTTTTTTTTTCTTACATGACTAGCTGTTGTCAAATATAGTTAAAGAGATATCCCATTGCAAGACGGCCTTAAAGAGGCATGATCCAAGACGGGGTCGAGAGTAGACGAAATGGCAATACGAAACTGTATTTGTCCTTTAGTACTGTGACGTTCTACAGATTTTCCGCATTATTGTCGTTCTTCCTCTCGTATCTGGGAAAGAATTCGCTCTAATCTTGGCGTAAGTTCAGCTCCATGTCCGTGTCGTGTCTCGAGCAACCGCGAATCTTTCTCAACCTTTTGATAATATCGAAGAAACTCCTGGGCCGTTGATAGTGCCGCTGCAAGTCCTTTGCCGTCTAGAGAAATTTTGACCTGGGCCAATGCCATGGGATTCAAACAGAGCGTAACTAGAAGGATTGACAAGTACCCGATAGCAACATTATGCTGCACTTCGGAAACGGAGTGTGCCTAAGTCCTGCGTTAGGCACTATAAGTGAATGAATGTACATAGGGCTTCCTTACCTGGGATACAGAATTGATGCTGGTAGAAAATTGCTGTAAGAGCAAATCGAGGGAAGATTCAGAATTACTTGTTGACTCCAGAAAAATAGCTCTCGATGATTCACTTTTTTCTGCAAGATTAATAAGAGTACCCAAAGCTAATATTACCGTGTCCACCGAGCTGATCTCTTTACCAGTGGTTTCTTCAGGTACAGCACTGAATTCCGAAATGATGACCTTGACAAGTCCGCCAACAATTTCAGTTCTGCAGCACTCCTCACAGAGAGATGGGTCCTTGTTGGTAAGGTTTAATAGTACCCGAATGTATAGAATCAGAATCCGCCGGCTTTGATCACCCTGATTCGGATAGAGAAAGTTATAGCACTGAATAAGTGACCGAAAGGAGTTGCAGCAGTCGGGGTCCAATGGGCCCGATAGGATTGTATAAGTTTCCAGAATCGACAAACTCAGGATGAGCGTTTGATAACGTTCAAAGGACAGAGGAAATTTTGCATTCTCACAAGCTTCGGGTAATAGCAACTCGGTAATTAGGGCTAGAAGCGGCGAGGGGATATCAACATTGGTGCCTTTCTCTTGAAAGGAAGTTAGAGAAGATTGAATATTCAAAAGAATCAGCAGACGCGGTGAAATAGTTGATATCGACCGCTCTCCGTGTATTGCAAGGGATAACCGTGGTAAAAGGCTCTTCAAGGATGCTTGGACAGCTTTTGATAAACCGATATATCGCTGTTTCGCGGTAACTGATATATTGTCTTCGACGTCAAGTAGAGCGGGAGATATATCCAAAAGTTTGGACCAAAATGGTGTCGGTGGTGCAGACGAGAAAGAGCCACTGGTGCATATCAATCTATAAGCGCATAGAGCAAGAGTGGTTGAAACTATATCAAAACCCCCACCTGTCATGCATTTCACCAGTCGTTCGTCAAAGCCAGCCTCGGAAAAACGGCCTAAAAATCGAGGCTCCATAAGCTTTGTACACAATTGAACAAAGCCATTGCACACCTCCGATGCGGAATTGTGAGGGTCCTCGATATCTTCGAAGATCAAATCCACTGTTTCCCAAAAGCGTGCATTATCTCCAGCCTGTCTTAGCTCATGAATGCTCCGAACCGGTCTGTTGTTGAGGCTTTCCTCGTCTTCAACATACGAGTAGGTTTGAGATAGCAATCCTGAATTTGACTGAGGCTGCCTAAGGCTATGATATCTCGAGGAAACTAATAAGCTGGGTTCTTCATTGTGGCCCAAGACAGAAGCATCATTTAGGAAGGAACGCTGGTGTGCGTAAGTAACCCTAGACCTTCCAGATATCGATGGTCTGGAATTAGGCGACCGTTGGATATTGTCTGTACCAGCAGCCTTAAGTCGGTGTATAGACGTAGTACGCTGTCGATCGGTTCCTTTCCAGATATGGCTAGAGGATGTCTGGCAGTCGGACTGACATTCACGATCTGACAGAAAATCCAGTGGCACCCCTTCTGTTGAGTCTAATGAATCAACTAATCTCTTTCGAAGACTTGGTTGTTTCATTTGGTGCCTGGTTGCATCCACAGCGCTGAGATATGATGTAGAAAGCCTGCCGGTTTTGAGAGAAATCTTTCTATCCCGAGGAGATTGAAGCATGTAGGTCGTTTCTGTAGGAGTCTGTTCATTCCTTGCGGTTTCAGCCTGAGCTCTCTTTGGAAGGCTACAACCATCACTTTGATCTCGAGCTTTGACCATATGGAGGGCCTCATTGGCCTTGACACCATTCGAACCTCCGGTTTCGCCAAATCTCGTCGTACTTTCATGCGCAAAGATAGACCCAATATGACTACCAGCACTCACACTATGCTCCTGAGTTTGTTCCGCCTGTTCCTGAAGGAGCTTTCTGCGCTTTATTCCGCTGACATCACAGGCTTTCCCATGGCTATTATGGGAACCTAGTATGTGCGCGTCAGGAATATGATCAAGTGAGTCAACACCACAGAGTTGCTGAGAATCACTGCCTGGTGATCGAGTCAAGGTATTTGAACAGGGATAAGTGTTTGAGACTCCAGCATCACCAGAGATAATGGGGCTTGTTGGTCTCTCTACTACCCTGTTTTTGCGATTGTGAGACTTATGTGAGCTTGGTTTACCGTAAGTCACAAGTCTCTTAGTTTTCTCACGCATGTTTCAGATGCCACTTGCATAGGCAAGGCTGGTACATATGAGGCTCTTATGTGAATTGATAAAGGAAAACAGGTTCAGGTAGATTGCGAGAACAGAGTTTATAAGCAGTAGAAAGACCGTCACCAAGTTGTTAGAAGGCTTCAATTACAAGATGCAAAAAGTAGATGGATTTATTGGGATGAGCTCTTTGAAGAAACTACTACACACATTCGTGGATGTGAATGCTCCATGAAGGTGTAGGTAGTAATAATCTGGTATGGTTGTGAACCAACAAAGCTGTTATGAAAAGGACTCCACAATCTGATTTGATATTTATGGAAGTATTGTGGGGGATACAATATCAACTGTAGATCCACATATCGTGCATTATAGCTGTTCTTTAAGGAAATGTTGGTGTAAATCAAGTTTCCCGAACGTCTGCAGTTAGACTAACTCATTTCCCTCAAGAGCGGGGAGCGCGGAGTCGCGGACTACACACAGTATTGAGTATAAATTAGAATGGACTAGGTCTTATGCTAAGTTACATTCTACAAACTAGTTTGTGGTATTAGTAGAACGTACCACCCATATAGTCCGCCATAACTATGTTTCTTTTACTGGTTTTATGTTAATTATTTCATAGTACAACTAGAGAACTACCCCACCCGCCTTCATTAGCCCAAGCTACTTATCGTACATATTCATGCACTATCTTGACCTGCTTGGTCTCTCCCTTTTCCTTGCAACCAACTAACTTCATTACTTCCACCCGAGTTTAGCAGACCCTCAGTGGGACCACTAGCTTCCTTTTTTTGCGTCCTTCAAAGTTCGCACTTGCCTCCATCTATTAAGAACTATACTAGAGTTCTCATTGACCATGGCTGATGAACGACTGGAAGCAAACCCCTCTCCTGCCCAAGGAGTTGGCCCAATTTATAGACCCGATGGTGAGAAGCCAACAGCAACAGTGTCGAAAGACATAGACTATGAAAATGTCCATGTTTTGCCTCAAACGCCCCAGTTGATCGCTCTTCTCACGTAAGTCATACGTCTCTAAAGAAATCTGAATCAACATCGGATGCTCATACTCACAACTCCATAGTATGATCAGAGATAAGAGAACTGGGCGTGCCGATTTCATTTTTTATTCCAACAGAATCATCCGTTTGTTGGTGGAAGAGGGTTTAAACCACCTGCCAGTAGTTGAGCAAGCTGTGACAACCCCTGTGGGCCGTACCTATCTCGGTGTCAAGTTCGAAGGTAAAATATGCGGTGTATCGATCATGAGAGCAGGCGAAGCAATGGAGCAGGGCTTGAGAGATTGCTGTCGATCAGTTCGCATTGGGAAAATACTTATACAAAGAGATGAAGAAACATGCAAGCCGAAGCTTTTCTACGAGAAGCTCCCTGCTGACATCTCCAGTCGATGGGTTTTACTCCTTGATCCAATGTTCGCAACTGGTGGGTTAAAAGACCTTCTTAGACTATAGAGTGATATTAATTGCTATCAATTCAGGGGGTTCGGCGACGCTTGCTGTTGAAATTCTCAAGGCGAAGGGTGTACCAGAGGACCGTATTCTGTTCCTCAACCTTATCGCAAGCCCTTCAGGAGTCGCAGACTTTGCGGAACGCTTCCCTAAGCTCAGGGTCGTGACTGCTTTTATAGACCAAGGCTTGGATGAGAAAAAGTTTGTATACTGCTAATTTCCCTTTTTCTTGATTAGCTCGCTAACTGGTTGCTATCACACAGGTACATTATCCCAGGACTTGGTGATTTTGGTGATCGATACTATACGCTGTGACACCCAGTCACCCAAATGAGCTTCAGTTTAGTACTGCTTATAAAGTATTACGGAGGTTTCTTCGAAACTGTTTTGCCGCATATCTGCATAATTACAACACAATGTAGTTGTATTGTGCATACTATTTTTAGCTGAAGTTGCTGGTTCATGAGGCATGAATAAGAATTATACCATAATAATTTCATTGCAAGCATTCATTATCCTTAGGATCGAAGCCAGCTGATCGCCAAAAATTATCGAGTAACAGCAAGTCCGAAAAAGCAGAACATCGGTCATAGTTTGGAAAAGCGACCACAGGAAAGCCACTGCACCTTTATATTGTACACCATCCAATATTTGAGAATTACTTGTATCAATCGTCGTCCACATATGCACCGGCGCGATCTGCATCATCGTATCCAGTATGCTGCCCAATAGAAGACACAGTATACTCATTTGATCGCAGACCACCGGCGCTATTATCTTCGTATCTGTTGGCTGTATCCTTGGCAACTGCATCACAAGCATCTACCCAATCTGAATATACATCGACAGCAGCAGAAAGATCTAAGGCATGAAATTGTCAGAATTGGTCCTCAGAGTAGTGCGTGTTCATGAACTCACAATTGATACCGGTTTGAAACCTCTGCCCACACACCTTACAGGACAAGTTCCCTAGTCCCAACTTCTTGTCTAGTTTCACCACGATGGAATTCTCGTGGTTACAGAAGAGACATGCGAAAGTTGTGGGCAATGGTTCTCTCTGACTCTATTCTTAGCCTCAGCACTCATCTCCCGTTCCAGACCTACTCACCTTCTTTGGTCCTTGTGGTTGTCTGCTCGACTTCTTCCGCTTGCCCTATAGCCGAACGAAAACTCAGTCATTGGACCATGATATTTCTCTCTATTGTTTCCCTCTCTACAAGTCCCGGTTGCACACAAAGGAGGGGCAGCCTACCATGCTTCCTTCGAACGTTCGCAGGTGCTTTAGAGCTGGTGTTCCGCGTAGGACAACTAAGATGTCCCTATCTGGTTAGCTGCAACGTGCATAGGTTTAGTTATGTACTTACTATTTTTCTAGTTGATATCAATGCGTGTCCCCACAAAAACAGGGGGCAGTGAACTGAATACTGTGGCTTAGAGTCCTGGGTTGATACTCTGTACGGCGTTACAGCACAGAGGAGGAAATGAAGACTATGTACGGAGTATGTTATGGGGGATTAGTGCTTTCAGCACTACCTGTAATGCCAATTACATCACTCGCGTTCACACTAACATTAGACGGCTAAGAGCGCTTCACTAGTAGCTAAGCAGCATAGTATACACTTAAATTCCAATGTAACTCTAGGTACTATCTAAGCCAGGAACTTCCTCCGTAATTAAAATGCCTCGACTTAGCAGTTGCTACATGCTGGTAAAGAAAGGAAGACATGTGTAGGAATACGACTTAGATACTTCACCACATACCATCAGTCACTCCATCATATCAGCCTACAACTGCCATCCTCGAATAAAGATCCCGGGTGCCGTATGCTTTGATAGCGATTTGTGATAATTTGCACAGATCTAGTATAAAAATAGCTTTACTCTGTGGAAAATAGGAAAATGCGATGATATGTATAGAGGACATTGTAACCATGTACTTTGTGATAGTGCATATTTATTTTTGTCAAGATTTTAAGATACAAATGCTGTATCTTCACGTGATTCATGTAACAAAACATCCAATCATACTGTCTGAATGGTCTATTTGTGGGGGGATAATATTATATAATCTGGGATAGGGCCGACGCTCTCGCTTAGCGGACTTTTCTGTGGGATTTCGATTTCAACTCTTATTCCGCCGACCCAGCAGCGTCAATCCCATCGACTCCCCTCCACCAGACCGTGTGGTGTGATATATTTGTCTGTCTTCGACCACTGCAAGATAGACCTGAGTCGCAGCTATGGCTGTTGGAAAGTATGTCAAATCTCACATCAACGTCGCAATGCGGGACAACAATCTTGATTGCTAATGTCTTGAAGGAACAAGCGCTTGTCGAAGGGCAAGAAGGGTATCAAGAAGAGGACCGTTGATCCTTTCTCCAGAAAGGATGAGTACTCTGTGAAGGTAGTTTCAATTAGTGTAGTTGCGCGAACGTTGCTAATAGTGTTCAGGCGCCCTCCACTTTCCAGATCAGAGAGTATGTCTGTTCTATATACATTTCAATCCCTTCTTTCAGAGAAGAACCGAAACCATATGTATCGACGAACGGCTGACCAGAAGCTCTAAAGTGTCGGAAAGACTCTGGTGAACCGCACCAGTGGTCTCAAAAATGCGAACGACTCGCTCAAGGGCCGGATTTTCGAGGTTTCTCTTGCCGACTTGCAGAACGACGAAGACCATGCCTTCCGTAAGGTCAAGCTTCGTGTGGACGAGATCCAAGGAAAGAACTGTTTGACCAACTTCCACGGCCTCGACTTCACTACCGATAAACTGCGATCCCTCGTCCGCAAGTGGCAGTCGCTCATCGAAGCCAACGTCACCGTGAAAACGACCGACGACTACCTCCTTCGTCTGTTTGCCATTGCTTTCACCAAGAGGCGTCCCAACCAGATCAAGAAGACCACATACGCCCGCTCCTCTCAGATCCGCGCCATCCGGAAGAAGATGACCGAGATCATGCAACGCGAGGCCGCCAGCTGCACTCTTTCTCAACTCACCACGAAGCTTATCCCTGAGGTTATCGGTCGCGAGATTGAGAAGGCGACGCAAGGAATCTATCCTCTCCAGAATGTTCGTGGTACTTCCTATCCCGAGGTTTGAATTGGAAACTAAGATGTTCCTAGGTCCACATCCGCAAGGTTAAGCTTCTCAAGGCCCCTAAGTTCGACCTGGGCGCTTTGTTGAACCTACATGGCGAATCCACCACCGACGACAAGGGTCACAAGGTTGAGAGGGAGTTCAAGGAGCAGGTTCTTGAGAGCGTCTAGATCTTCCGTTGCTCGCAGTGGAAGTGCAGAGTCCTCTAGAATCAAAACTGTCGCTGCCTCTCGATCGAAGACGGAAGGAGGAGGGGGAATATTCCAACTTATGTCTCTGATCAACGACAACGAGGTCGTTCATGTTTCAAGGTAGGCGGTGTCGGTAATTCAAAAAGACTATGAATTGATTTCGTTATGTGAATGCAAATAAATAGAACTGGCTCAGTTGCATATTTCACCTGATCTGGGTGACAAGTGCTGTAGTTTGATCTAGTGTGAGCCCTACTACTGTGGACATGTATGTATACTGCCTTGCAGAGCATTAGTCTCCCTATCTCTAACAGTACTCTGTACTGTCATTTGGCAGTCTTTGTCAAGACATATTCACCTATTAGTTATCTCATTAAGCTTGATATTATCAAGTCACTAACTACAACAGTCACCCCATCAACTCAACACACCCTACGTACACTCCACTCCTAGTATCTATTATTGCTCGGCTGTACCCATTAGGCCGATGAGCTCAGAACTGTCGCTTGAAGAGCTTGTAGTAGACTGACAGACGGGATGCCATTGAGTTGATTATGATTCAATCGGTTGCAGTATCTACATATTAATATGATACTATTGGGCTGGTATTAAGATACCACGTTGGCATTGTGAGGATTGGGGTTTGAGTTGTTGGGGTAGGGGATGTTTAATATCAAATACAGTCCATAACTTTTGATATTGTGAGAGGATCTGCTATACAGGGCAGGTAGCTCATCAACTAGGTGTAAGGTCCCGAACTACTATATATGGATTGTGAATAGGGTGTGCTTAATCATCCACATGTGTCATAAGCGATATGCCCAGCGCACTGGCTGGGATCTAGTATAGTTAGTTAGCCATCTTAAGTAGATCAAGAACTACTAGATATCCAAATACTGGTATCTAATAGCCATGTGCACTTAAGACAGATACATATGAATCATGGTTTCTTTGGGGATTATCTCAGCATACTCAGATCCTCTTATTAATGTAATTGGGTAAATATTGTGTGCTATCTGTATCACGGTCAGCCCCCATTTAATACTAGTAGGCAGTCAGCTACAGTGTAGCCGATTTATGATGACTGAATCAGTGAATTGAGATATGATAATTGAATTGACTTAGCAAAATTGGAAAGTGCGTACTAACTAAGCGGTGGACCGTACATGGGCAGAAAGGTGGTAGATCTGTCATGGCAGAATTGTTGTTTTTGGGTATTAGCTCAATATTACTTTTTTAATAGAGCTTAACTAAAATACTAAAAGATTGCTAATTCTTGGTACAGACCCTTGTTAGTATACCTTATGAAAGATATATATATAGCAGAATGACAGAGAACTATAATAGCTAGTAAAGAAAAGTTGGATTATGGAGCCTGTATCTGTAGCGTACTTAGGCAATTTCTAGTTTGATGTTCTGCTAGTACACTTTTACCATCTTTGTAACTATTGTTATAGAACCTATATAATTAACCTTGATTTATTATAAGCACTGATAGAAAGTAAATTAACCATAAAAATTCTTAATAAGTAAAATTATCGAGAATATACAATATAGAGATATTATAAAAATTATATAATAATAAATTATTTATATACTATAGAATAGTTTATATTAAAATAATATAAAAATAAAAATTAATAAATTATTTAAGAAATTATTTATAATTTATAAAATAGTGTATACTAAGATATTATAAAAGATATAGAATCTAAAATATATAAAAATATTTATTTTTATAATATTAATTTAATTTATTATTTAATTTATTATTTAATTTATTATTTAATTTATTATTATTATTTATAATTTATTTTTTATAATAATTAATTTATTTTTGTAGCGTACTTAGGCGTTTTACATTTTTTCTCATAGTTTAATATTTTACCAATATAGTTTTACTACCTTTGTAACTATTTTAAAATTTTAATTAATTCTATTTCCTATCCCTTTAATTTTATTAATATTTCTTTTTATTTTTATATTTATATTTTAAATTACGGTTTTGGTAGGATAGAAATTATTATAAGATTACTATTGATACTAAATTACTATTATTATAAAAATACAGTTAATATAAGACTACTATTAATATTAAACTACTATTATTATAAAAATATAGTTAATATAAAACTATT